CACAGAAATAGTGGAAAACATTTCTGTTTTAAAACCAATGTTTGTTTATAAAGGGGTTATAAAGAGTGACAAAAATTAGGGAATAATGTCATGGATTTCTATTTCTAATGTCAGTTGAAAAGATTTTTAAAAATACCAGTAGTCATGAAATACATTATAATTATCATAACAGTAATATAAAAATTCTATACATAATTATTTATAATAAAACTTTAAAATATTTTATAATTGTCTTATAATTTCCAGTAATTAATAAAATTAATAAACTTCAGTTTATTTTTGAACAAATTACAGTATATTTAGATAATTGTATAAATTAAACATTTATTTTATCAATTAGATATTTAGAATAGAAACTGTAATACAGTCTATACTCTATAAGAGCAAGTCATTGGTGATTTAAAAATTAGTTGCTTATAAAGAGAGTTGCTTTTATAGGGAGTTGCTTATTGGGAGAATTGCTCTTGTAGAGGTTGCTTTTAAGGAGTATAGACTGTATTATATTGAGTATTATATGGATTATATGAAAAGGTCAAATATATACTTGTATAGTTTTAAGGCTAGTTTTAAGTTTAATACCGGTACAGTATAAGAGTTTATAAAATGTGCACAAAAAGGGCTAATAATGAGTGTATATAAAAGGATTATAATATAAGACTGTGTATAAAAGGAATTAAAAGTACCCGGGTACAAACAGCGCTATATACAAAAGTTGAATAATAGCAGCCCTTAAAAGTCCTATTGATTTATTGAAACTTTTACTTAAACTATTAAACTTTATAAATAAAACTATTACAAATGACATGCAATATGAAAAATAAATGCCAAACACAACCAAAATGTGAATAATGATTACAATCAAATTCTTGATTATATTCCGCAAGGAATGCAAATCCAGATGAACTCCAGGAGGCCAGCCCTCAACAAATGGTTGACAGACCGCAAAATACATGGGGCGGGTATGTGACGGGTACCGGCGCTAAGTCATTGACGGAACAGGTGCTCAACCGAATGGCAGACAGCCGTGAGTCGGCCTACCATACCGCTAATAGTGTCGAACACATGTCGCCTACCAGTCCCACATCGCCTCTAAACCAACACATTTACGTCAAAGAGCGAGAAAGTGAGTGGTAGTCTCTGCCATCCCTTTCCCCACATATCATACCAATACTTATATTTCATATCTAACTATTCCTCCGAAGTGTACGAATACCGAGAATTCAATTCATCGCCCAATCCTTACCGACCGAAGAGTCCCCTCTCATCGACCGGCGCTCAAAAGCCGCCCACCAGTAGTGGACAGCCGTTCTCGCCGACGACGTCGCCCACGAATATCAGTTACCATCAGCCGGAAGAGCAACAGTGGCTCTCATCCCAACCCAAAGACAACCGGATGTTTGGAGTTCGACCGCAATCGCCCACTCCTGCGCCCAATCAGCCCACGAATACCGGTGCGAAAGACGTGCGAGTGTTTGGTGTGCGACCAAAAGGCCAGTCCAAGTCGCCTACCAGTCCCCTCCCGAATGGCGGCTCAAATGTGTGCTCATCGGCCACTCCCAGTCCCGTACAACAGGCAGCGCATGTGGTATCGCCGCCACCCGGGCCGCCACCACCACCCGGTGCTGCCCTTCCCGTGCAAGACCTCAAACAGTTAAGCCTTCAGGAAATGCAACGAAACGGCAGAGGAATGGATCCCAACGCTCACGACAAACAGTTTTACGCCCAAAACAAAAGGGCCGACACTTTCAAGACGCACGGCTTCGAGCGCCCGGACAGCGGACGGGTAGTCAACGACCGGAGGGTTGGGCCGCGACTCATACGGCAGTCGTCGGAGGGAACGCCCCATTGGAAGACACCTCTGCCGCAGATGCGAGTGAATCGTCCGGAAGTGAATCAATTGCTTCCCTCACAGACACGACAACAGCAGACATATATCGTTCAGACGCCGCCCACCGAAAAGAACGCCAGACCCCCGCCCACCGGCACCCATAGGCGCCGTATTAGACCGGTGTGGCCGCCGCCCGACTGGAACGGGCGATACGTTCCCAAAGTGGGCTTCAACGCCAGTGGCGGAAGGGGTCGGTAGACAAACCTCACCCTTAAACCTGCTATTAATCCGTTGTATTACAGACTCCCCGACCACTCGTCACGATTGGCCGCCGTCCAGGTCCCAGTCCGTCGAGAAGGACTACGACGGCACCTGTAGTCCGCGTATGCGCTACTCGACGCCACCGCCCGGTGCCCCACAGCAACAACAACAGGCGTGGAACCCGCGCGGGGGCTCAATGTCGCCCACACCCGGCTCCCGACCCTATACGCCCACCCGACGCGTTGTGAACACGGCGTGGCCCCCACCAAGTACTACCTGTCCCCTATATTTAAAAGCTTATATTTATTCATATGGTATTGATTTGTAGGTAACGCCACTCCGGCCGGAAGGCAGGGCATGAAAGTAGTGTCTCAGTCGGCACCGGGCTCTCGACGCTCATCACAAACGGATGACTACTATGTCTTCGCGCATAACAATAGGATTCCGCAGACATATAGACCTCCCCCACAGACACAGTACTGTATGGGTCAGTACGAGACCGCCTGATGGGGACAGACACCCGCTTTTTAGGACTAATTTTTTGTGCCAAAAGTTTTATATTATATTTAATGAGAAATTGTTTCGTTTTTTGTTTTAAATATAATAATTACTTATTAATTATTTTCTGTTCATATCATTGATCGTTAATACCATTTAAATAATACACAGAATATCTAATTGTTAATTACTTAATGATATTTCATATACGATATTATAATAACTATACAATTATGAGATATAATAATTTTAATGTTTAACAACTCAACACTCATTTAATGCTTAATATAAGACTAACGAGACTCGCATTAAAAATATCATATTTTAGTTAAGAATTTTAAATTGTGTTAAAAATATTATAAGACATTAAGTTTTTTGTTGTTTTTTGGAAGTAATAAAATACACACAAAAAGTTTTGTTGATTTATTTAATTCTAGTTTTGTATTCACACACCGAAAGTGTTGTTGACATCGAGTCCAATGCAAAATAAATATAACATAATAATAAACAATCAAAATATGATATTATACGGTAATTATTAAATAAATACTTTCTAATGTTAATCTCTATAATCAACACATTAATGATTGTATAATAAAAGTTTAACAATTGATAATAAATACAATAAAATGCAAATAATGTGTATATTATGCATAATTGAACTTTATAATATAAAGTTTACATGAAAGTTCTGTGTTATCTGTTATTTGATGTGTTAATTCCTGGATCAAACACATGATAACTTAAGTGTTATACAAATTTTATAAGTTATTTGAAATGTGAAACATTGTAAACAATCCAAAAGTCGGAAATTCTTTTGAGATTTTGAACCCTTTTTCCGAGTAATGAAAATATTATTTCAAAAAACTGATCAAAAATTCAATTCATAGTATTAATCGAAAAATAATTATAACTTATAATTTATAACTAACTTATACGGTATTTTAAACCTACATAAAGTTTATATTTAATATTATGTAAACAATATGTAAATTTAATCTATTATTCTTATAGTGAAATCAATGTTAAACCCGAGATATATATACTTTACAAATAAATTGATGTGAAATAGTTTGGCGAAATGCCTTTCCCCTGTGTGTATGAGTGGTAAAGGGTGTAGTGTACGGGTATTCTTACAATTCCAATGCCTATCCGACATATAAAATACCATTAGTTTTATGTCTTAAGCAAAGTAGCAAAAAATTAGTGCTTATTCTGTGAAAAATAAATTTAGACCATATATTCGGATCAGTTTTGTGTTGTAATCGCCTTATTAACAGATAATTAAAAACACTGTTGACTATAACGGGACACTTGTAAACACAATTTTGTGTCGGAATTTTCATGTCAACAAAAACTTTTTTATATAAAAATTTTATTTTGAATGATATTTCTAACAAAACAAGTCAATCAAAACAATTGGATTTAAGTTATATTTTGGGGACATTTAGACGATTCACACGTATATTGAATTGATTTTGACCCCAATTACATGTTACTATTGTTTGAAATTTAGTAAGTTATCTATATAATATTGGGAATATAGTTATAAATTCTGGTAATATAACTTTTTTGCAAACTTTTAGTAACATTTGAGTGGTGAATAGCAATAATCGTAAAGTAAGACATAATATAACACAAAAGTAATTGTTATGCAAAATATTAATGAAATACTGTGTGGAACCGAAAGTTTGGCAAAAAATTGAGAAATAATTAGTAAACTTTCAATTCTGCAAATTCCGGACTTTTTTCATTGCAAACACTGGGTGTGTGTGTGTGAGAGAGAGAGAGAGAGAGAGAGAGAGAGAGAGAGAGAGAGTTTGATGACGTTTAGCCTTTCAATACATGCTCTCTCACNTATTAATAATTAATAGGTATGTGTGTGTGTGTGTGTGTGAGAGAGAGAGAGAGAGAGAGAGTTTGATGACGTTTAGCCTTTCAATACATGCTCTCTCACTATAATCTCTCTCAATTGCAAACATACATCACATCTATTCCGGGCGCCACTCATACCTAAACCGCACGTACAGTACAGACAACATCCCAAACGAAATGCTCACACAATCCATACGTTTAATCCTTTTGGAGTTGAGCTGAAGCCCTGTTAGGGTTGGCTCGCGATTATAGATCGATAAAGAATTTGTTTTAGAGATTAGTCTAGTGTTAGGAACCAAAGAATAATTGAGTGTTTTGTGTGTCGAAAGTGTTTTGCGGTTCAAGTGTTTGCCATTTAAAGCCCCCGATTATGGCGGCCGCACAACAGACCACTATTAAGCTGTTGAGAGGTGACTCCAGTTCCTCCTGGGGTTTCCGACTACAGGGCGGGAAGGACTTCGCTATGCCTTTATCGGTGGTCAAGGTTTGGGAGAATTTTTGAAAACTTTTCTATTTTTAGAAAATTATTTTTAGTTTTTTTCCAATTCATTATTCACTATCGAGAGGCAACTATTGCTGTATATTTATGTTCATTCAGTAATGGCTTTGAATTCATTGAAATTTTCAGTTATATAAATATTTTTATTAACGTCTATTGTATTCATAATTAATAGATATGTGCATTTCATAGTAATAATTATAGTCATATCATGGATTAGGTTACAGAATATTTAAAATTTTTCAAACTTTATGAATTATATAATAAATAATTGGAAATAATTTAGCGTATATATAACAGTGCATTAGATAATTGAATTTCATAGTTACTAATTGACATTAATTTATGGATTGGTATAAAAAATAGAGTAGAAATATGGAAAATATGCGAAACACCTGTCCCTGTACAGTACTTGTATCACATTTTTCACTAATTTCAAAATAGCTAAAATATATAACAAATTTTGTGGAAAATATTTATTAAATACATAACAAAAGTTTTTCTGGATATGAAAAAAGTTCAGTTATTTTACTAAAAGTTTATAAAACAATAATAATTCACTCGATATTTCTATGTTTAATGTGGAAGTCATGGCACCCGTGTTTTGGCACCTATACCATACCATGAACTCTCGTTCTCAGTTTGAATGTCACAAAACTTTAGATATACTTTAGATAATAAATTAGTTTTATTATAATAATTCTCTCTCTCTCTCTCTCTCTCTCTCTCTCTATTAATAGTGGTCTGTTGTGCGGCCGCCATAATCGGGGGCTTTAAACGGCAAACACTTGAACCGCAAAACACTTTCGACACACAAAACACTCAATTATTCTTTGGTTCCTAACACTAGACTAATCTCTTACTCACTCACTCTCACACTTGCAATGTATCCAAAAAACACTATTTTTATTATTGATTTTAAAGGCGAATAATTCTCTCAAAAACAATATTTCAGTGGTTTTTAGACATTAAGACATTCACTGAAATTCTAGTCAAAGAACTGTCAGTGAAAGCGAAAAAATAATTTATTTATTAATCAATTACTTTTGAGACGACTTTCTAAATGAGTGCAATTATAGCCGGTCTAACAATTCCAGCCTTTGATTCAGTGGAAAATTTTTTGTGTTAACAAAATAAAGCAAAATATTCTGTGACTGTGTTTTGAGAAATAAATTAAAGGCTAGGAAAAGGAAAAAGTAAAAATTATAGCTATTTTTCAACTATAAACGCAAAACACAAATAAATAAATTACAGGAATTTCTTGTGAACACAACTCTTTCACTACTGGTATATACTGTATAACACATGGGATGATAAAGGGATTGGGATTTGGGAATGGGATACCAAATGGTGTAAACGAGTTCTTACAAGTAATCATAAAAATAATACTTTCACTCCTTATTCCCTACTCTACTCCACATTCAAATGCTGTGAACATTGTGTTGTGTTTTGCTGTTTAATAGCTTTTTTGCAAACTTCAGCACTAATAGTGAACCAAAAATCTAAATGCAGTTTAATATTACTTTTCTGTGCATTCAGTATAGATGTTAGAGTGGATGTTGAATAGCAATCATTTGGCAAACATTATAATGTAGTCCTCAGTCCTGTTACCATCTTTGGCATCGCAGAGCACACCCTCTTTTGCACGCTATTCATAAAACAACGGTTCCCTTAGTATTACCATTTCACATCCCTATGCTCCCTGTGCTCTCTCTCTCTCACTCACTAAAACTATGAATCGAAAAATTTTGTGAAATTCTTGTCACAAAAATATTTTTCTGATCACAACATTTGATACAAAATATTATGAGTTCCTCTTAAATCGGCAGCTCATGGGCTTAGGGAAAGACCTATTGACAAAAGCCCCGGCAATTAGTGCCAGAACTCAATCAAAATCGACTTTTTATACAGTATTTCTAAATAATTGTTTTAATTTTCTAATGATACGAGTGCTTCATTTGCACGAATATTATATTAGCCCTAAAATATGGTATATATTATTAGGTGAACGCCAACAGTTTGGCGGCACAGGGAGGCCTACAGATCGGAGATATAATTGTCAGAATCTGTGGCAATAGCGTGGATGACATGAGACACAAAGAGGCTCAGGAAGCCATCTATAGAGCCGGCAATAGCCTCGACATCACTGTTCAGAGGTTTATCACAACGACTAAAAATGATATAAAATATCAAATCATTTCTAAAACAAAAGACATTTTATTTAGAGGTGATATAAACACGTGGAGACCGAGTGTGACACCAGTCGGGGAGTTAAGACCCTCTGCCGGACAGACCACATACACGAAGACCTCTTTAGCAAAACCACAACAGGTATGGCACCGATAGGACAGGCATTTCGTGAAATTCTATACAATTGACAACTGAAACAAATGTCTCCCAGAACTCGACGCCAATCGGAACGGGATATAACTCACCGGCGAAGCCCTTCAACAGCCCCAACATCCCATCTCTGGTGCACAAGCAGTACAACTCACCCGTGAATCTGTACTCCGAGAAGAATATCGCCGAAACACTTGAGGCTCACACAGAAGTACTGACGACGGGTGCCGTCGGGTTAGTAGTGTTTTGAGTGCTTTTCGTTTGTTTTGCAAACCTGTCGTCGAAACCAGGGAACGGAAACTCATTTTTGCCATAAATTCTCTCAAATACTTGACGTACAGAATAAACTTCATGAGACCCGACGCCCCCATCAATAAGGAGTCTGCAGTCTATCAGATGGTTCACGACGAAGAAGTTAGGAAAGCAAAGGGTATGTCATCTCTGAGAGCGCTGGTAGTTAATCATAGACTTAAGTTTTGTGTGCGAGAAATGAGTGACAGAAGTGGCGAGTCATTGGAAAAGTTATGACAAAGCGTTTGAAAAGTCAAAACTCGAGTAAATCATGGATTACTTACAGAAAGTGAAAACTGAAGCAAAAACACAAATAGTTATTAGAATAAGTGATTCTCTCTCTCTCTCTCTCTCTCTCTCTCTCTCTCTCTCTCTCTCTCTCTC